CCAGATTAGAATAGACCGTGTTGTTGTCGACCTATTAAAAAGTATCTACCTTGGCTTCGTAAGCAGTAAAGACAGAGAGTCAGCATCCGCTCTACTTACGGTTCTTGTTTTCTTTTTCTTCGATAAATCTTTTGTTTTCTTGCTCTCTCTAAAGCTGCAATGCCTTTTGAAAGCGAAAATGTGCTAATTGACTTGGCTTGGGGAAACGAGAGAGGTTTGGTTCAAAGTGAGTGGTATTGCTTCTTAAATATCTGCTGGTCTGCTTAAGAGCAACAGACGGCTAGGGGCGCCTGGGTGACTCAGTCAGTCGAGTGACTGACTTTGGCTCAGGTCGTGATCTCCGGGTTCATGAGTTCGAGCCCCGCATCGGGCTCTGTGCTGACCATGCACAGCCTGCTTCGGATCCTCTGTCCTCCTCTCTCTCTGCCCCTCCCTGCCCCTCCCCTGCTCATGCTCTCTAGAAGAAATTTTAAAAAAATGAGTGCTCTCTCTTCTGTCAGCTCATCTGCATCTGGGAGGGGTCCCCTCCTTTGGGAAGGTTGAGAGCTTTCTTAGACACAGTGATCCAGGATGGGAAATTTTCTCACGCTATGCTGCCTTGTTCCAGCTCCGAAGAACATTTGAAGGTCTGGCAAAAGCTTTGCCGTTCCCTGCGGTCTTTCTAGAAACAAGATCTTATGAGGCATGTGAGTGTCCTGGGGAAAAGGAGCCCGAGAAATATTTTGCACGCGTAACTGAGACCCCGTGGTGTGTTATTATTCTATCCATTGCACTTGACGGCAGATTATTAAGCAGGGCTGAAAACAGGGCAGTGACTTGTGGTTCTGAGGAAAGTGGCAGCTACAGCTTTAACTTGGGCCAAGGAACAATTTCGGCTGCTGAACCAGCCACTGACCACCACCTGGGGAACTGTTTCCTCCCACACGCGAATTCCGTGCTGTTCCTGAAAGCTGGCCAAGGGCCTCCATTGTGCACGAGGGTTTTTTCTTTTTTCTGTTATCACTATTATCACCACCATAATTGCTAGAGTTATCATGACTATTATTATCCATCCAGCTAGGTTCTACTAACATACACCAGCCTAATTGTCAAGAAGGCACAGTGACAACACAGATGAAGCCCTTTAATTTGATAAGTTTGAAATAATGACGGGAAAAGAGCATCTGATTCCACTGACTGATTTTTCAATACCTTGGTAATCAAATCAATCATTTCCCCCCAAGAAAGAACAAAGTCTACCTGGTAGTAACCATTTTCTAAAAGGCAGGATGGTGTTGGGGTTATTCGGAAAACCAACCTGAGGCATTGTGTGTGTGTGTGTGTGTGTGTGTGTGTGTGTGTGTGTGAGAGAGAGAGAGAGAGAGAGAGAGAGGAGTAAATATAGAAATATTGGGGTTTCTGGAGGGTAGGTAGATTACTGCTTCTCTCTCTAACCATTTGCAACTCTCCCCTAGAACAGAACAGAATTATACACCAATGCTTCTCACTTCTGTGAACCTTAACATCTTCTTTAACCACAGAAAACAATAGCTGAAGCAAACAGGATTTCAGAAAGGCAGTTAAAAAAATATTGTGAGCATGACTCATTTTTTTTTTCCCCAGGTCCATAAATCTAAATGGATTTATATATACTTTTAAGCAAGTGGACCTAAATTCTAAATTTGTGTCCCTTTAGGGGGAAAGGGTTCTTTAAACATGTGTCCATTGCAAGGAAATATGGTTGCCTTAGTAACGAGCTCCTGGGCATTTTCCTTCCGTTATGTTAGAGAAAACTCATTGTACTGAAAGCTTTCTGCTTTCGTAGGCAGGCTAAATGAGCCAAAAGCTTGGGTGAAACAGAGCAAACATGAATTCTTCTAGGTAGATGTATGCCGCTGTGCAGAGAAGATTGAGCAATAGAATGCTGGAATTTTTAAAACCGAAATCTTACAGGATGTGTCACCGGCCCTCTTGTTTTAGATGAAAGGTAAGACTCAAAGAGATGAAATGATGTCCAGGACCCCACACGCTTGTGACGGCAGGGGCAGAGCTCCAGGTGAGCTCCTAGCAACCTGCCTGATGTGTTTTCACCATATCATAACCTCTGAAAAGTTGCTTATAGGCTGAAGTTCTTTTTTTATTTTTATTTTTTTTAATTTTTTTTTCAACGTTTATTTATTTTTTTGGGGACAGAGAGAGACAGAGCATGAATGGGGGAGGGGCAAAGAGAGAGGGAGACAGAGAATCGGAAACAGGCTCCAGGCTCTGAGCCATCAGCCCAGAGACTGACGCGGGGCTCGAACTCACGGACCGCGAGATCGTGACCTGGCTGAAGTCAGACGCTTAACCGACTGCGCCACCCAGGTGCCCCTGAAGTTCTTTTTTTAAATTTAAATCCAAGTTAGTTAACACGTACTGTAATACTGATTTTAGGAGGAGAATTTAGTGAGCCATCACTTCTATACAGCACCCAGTGCTCATCCCAACAAGTGCCCTACTCAATACCCGTCACCCTTCTAGCCCATCCCCCCACCTCCCACCAGAAACCCTCAGTTTGTTCTCTGTATGTAAGAGTCTCTTATGGTTTGTCTCCCTGTTTTTATCTTACTTTTCCTTCCCTTTCCCTATGTTCATCTGTTTTGTTTCTTAAATTCCACATGTGAGTGAAATCATATGATATTTGTCTTTCTCTGACTGACGTATTTTGCTTAGCGTAATACATTCTAGTTCCACCCACATTGTTGCAAATGGCAGGATTTCGTCCTTTTTGATGGCCAAGTAGTATTCCACTATAGATGGCTACCACATCTTCTTTATCTGTCCATCAGTTGATGGACATCTGGGCTCTCTCCCTACTTTGTATAAACTGAGTTCTATAAATAAGTCTTAGGCTGACCCAACGTGTACAAAAACTGTTCTACATCACCTTGTAGCCTCTCTATAAACCCATTTTTGTGACTACATAGTAGGAACGAGTATTTACTGAGTACTTACTATGTTGTGGGCGCTATTCCAAGCACTTCCCTGTAACTGGCTGTGAGGTTTGTACTCCACTAAAAATTTTTTTTATGTTTATTTTTTGAGAGAGGGAGACAGAGACAGAGACAGAGACAGACAGACAGAGTATGAGCGGGGGAGAGGCAGAGAGAGAGGGAAACACAGAATTCGAAGCAGGCTCCAGGCTCCGAGCTGTCAGCACAGAGCCTGACGTGGAGCTCAAACCCACAAACCGTTGAGATCATGACCTGAGCTGAAGTCGGACGCTTAACTGACTGAGCCACCCAGGTGCCCCTGTATTCCATTTTATCAGTGAGTAAACTGAGGCACAGAGCGATGAAGTAACCTGCTCAAAGTCACAGAGTGATTCAAGTGGCAGAAGCCAGGCGGTTTAACTAAACAGCTGGGCCCCCTGTTGACTGTCACTCCCAACAGAACTTGCTTAAATGAGTCACCCGCCAGACAAACGCTCGCATAAACTGGCCAACATGAGCCATAGCATGGAGTACTGAATAAAAATAACACCGGACGTTGGAGTTAAAAGCATTCTTTCTCTCATCTTTGGAGATGAAGTTAGGTGAGAAATTGAGCCCAGAAAGTATAAAGCATATCACGGGTGAAGTGCAATGCAAACATTATGAACCTATTTTGAAGATGGTCTACAACCCAGTAGCTAGTACTGTGCCATTTTACCACTGAGGAAACTGAGGTTCGGGGTAGCAAGTTAAAGGACTTGCGTAAACCACAAAAGTAGTTCATGGCAAATGAGAATTTCAATCTGAATCCTGACTCCCAACCTGACTCTTCACCATGCTTGTTGAGGCTGAAGAACTCACCTTAATAACCCTGCATCTTCGTGGGAGAGCTCCTACAGGTCACCAAGCCCTGCTGTACTGACATCTCAGCCCTCCCTTGGGGTGGGGCGGGGGGCACACATAAACTGTAGTGCAGCGCATTGGACTATAGATGGCGCTCATTAGCACCACAGTTACCCGCAAAAGCCTCCCTTTCCGGGAAGGAAATGTGGCCTGGGCGTTTTGGGGGCTGGGTGAAAAATGACCAGATTGTCCAGTCTAGGTTTATTTTCCTAGTTGTGAGCCTTTTTATAAGTCCTGATGGGAGTAAATATCTGAGGCCAAAGTTCAAGTGGCTCTAAATAGCTGTCATCAAAGTAAAGCAACGGACTGAGTTTGGCAAGCACCAACGAAGCTTGAGCTGGTATTCTTAAACCCGATTTCAGTTATGATGCAATTCCCATCAGGATTTTAAATATTTCTGAGGCCAGAGAAAAATAACATAAAGATACACTGAAACACTCAGAGTGTCCCCGAGTCCACATTACCATTTATTTCGACTATTTCAAATTCTAGAAAAGCTCTCACCTGTGGCCCATATCAATGGTAGCATTTGAACAAGACACCTGTAGGTTACTAGATTGGCTAACGAAAATCACAACCCTTACCCCCACCCCACAGGTCTGCTCGTGGAAGAGCCATGAAGTAAGAGGGGAGACCCATATGGTACCAGTGGGTATTAGAAGCTAGCATCCCAGCCTGGAAGAAGAGGAAGAGGGCATCGACACCTGGGGTGCCAAATGTGTCTGAGGAAGAGAAAATGATCCAAGGGGAGAGGGAGAAGGGGGAGAGGCAGTGAGTGCAGATCAAAGCAATATGGTACCATGGACAACCATCCCTCGTCCACTTGTCCAGCTGCTACCTTAGCAGCTCTGCTGGGTGCAAAGCGCCATGACAGCTGTCCCTTAAGGTGTTAGCACAGAAGAGGGACAAGAGACATAATCTAGTACTACCTTCTTCCCTAAACTAAACCTTTATCGAGTCATGACTTCCAAAAACAAGACATTTGGAGGAACCATTCAACTCCCTCATCTCCTGCTTTGCCTGGTATTCACTGGTGCCCAGATGATATCCACAACCACCAGGATGCTTTCAAAGTACCCAAGCTGGGCAAAAGTTCCAAAGCGAAGCAAAGTAGACCGGAATGGTTCCTGCCAGAAAGACGTTTACCTTCACCAAAAATGTCATCCTCTTCCTCGCCCGGGAGCTCCTCGGGGTCCAGATACTGCATCTTGGAGAGGGCGGCAGTCAGCGGGTGACGGCAGGTGTGCAGCCAGGACCGTTCCCACCACCACAGTGCGCAGGGGCAATTTCCTCTCTGAGGGTTGCAGAAGCCCTCAGGGAAGGCAGCTTCCGCATCTGCCCTCCGAAAGCAGCTTCATTCATATGAATAGGCTCCCTGAGCCTTTCCAAGCCTGCATGCCAGGTGGGGTAATTCTCACCCCCCCCACCCCCCCTAGAAGAAAGAACTTCTTTTGGAAGGGGGCTGCAGATCCGGTTGGGTCTGAACACAGATAGAACTTAAAGGCTGAGCGCAATGGATTCCTTCAGAGCGACAACTTTCATGTTTTCTTAAGGAGGAAGGTGAGCTTTCAACTTTCGTACTTATGAATTCGAACACAATGGTCGTGTTGAAAGAGACGGGGTTCACGTTTCTCCTATCTTGGTTTTGCTTCGGTGACAATTTATCTGAAAGCAAAAGCCACTGCGCTGCACCAAAGAGGCACTGGCAGGGACGCAGCCTCGGTTTCACTCCGAAGAAGTTGCCTTTTTCCTTTTTGCAAACCTCTTGCCTTTGGGGCTGAGAAACTCTGTTCCAGCCCAGCTCAGCACACATCTGGGCTCTTAGCGGCTCAATTCAATCTGTGGTCACGCAACAGAGAACTAGTTTGGTTCGAATGACTTTTCATTTCACCCTATTTACCCAGCCTGGGTCTTCAGAAGACTTTATCGCTAAAGAAGAAAGAAGAAAATGTGACTCAAAAGGGCAGCTCCTCCCAGAGGCAGGAGTAACGAGTGTGCTTTCACAAGAGTGTGGGGGCGGGGGCTGGCATTGCCATATGGAACCCCCCAAAGTGTGCTACGTTCTCCCTGGCTATTCAAACACCAACCTGAGTGATACTGCGATTTCATGGCGGGGGGAGGCGGTTGCCAGAGCTCTCCATCATGTTGCAAGACCTCACAGATGGTCAAACAGAGATAATGGTGAGGAGTTGGTAGCCCCCGGTGTTTACTTCTGGCAACTTTATTTCCCGAGTAGGGTTTTAAAACAAATAAATAAATAAATAAAATTTTAAAGTTTATTTATTTTGAGAGAGAGGCAGAGAGCGCGAGTGGGGGAGGGGCAGAGAGCGAGGGAGGGAGAGGATCCCAAGCAGGCCCAGCACTGTCAGCGCACAGCCCAACCCGGGGCTCGATCCCATGAACCGTGAGAGCGTGACCTGAGCCGAAACCAAGAGTCAGTCGCTCAACTGACCGAACCACCCAGGCGCCCCAAGAATATATTTTTGATAGACTTTATTTTCTTAGAGCAGCTTTAGTTTCACAGCAAAATCGAGAGGCAGTAACGGTTTTCCCATATGCACCCTGCCCCCCC